CAGACTGGGTTTTGTCAAGCTGACACTCAAAGTTGTCTTGATAAATGTGACTTATCTAGAAAAATTGCAGTTCTGTTTTTGTAAGTCTAGCTTATTTCAGGAGTGATGACCATTTTGGGTTGCCAGGTTTGTAAATCTAAGCATTCAGTAGTTTCGACATTGTACTGAACACAGCAACGTATGAGACACAAAAAGAATCTTATTCCAAATCAACTGGTGCATTAAATCCTGCTCTCCGAGTGCAATAGACCTACCACTTGTTCTTTACTTGTACCTGTAATGTGTTATGTGGTAATAATTCTATCACAAATGTTTCATTTCTTTAGTCGCACTTTATTTTAATGTAAAATTATTGCTATTAATAACCTTTAACTGTAACTTTTGCCTAAGTAAACACCAAATTTGCTGCTTATTAATAGTTATTAAAGTTTTAGTTATGTTAGTATTAGGGATGTGATATAATAAGTACTTTGAGTACTAAGAAACAGTCAATATCTTAATAAAATGCATGTAATAAGCCACTAGTAAGTTAATAGTAAGCATTGCTACTTAATCTAAAGTGTTACCATTTATTCTTTATGTATGCAAATGTTCAGCATTCACAGTTTTTCTTTCAAATATGTTTATTTGAAATGTTGCGTTGCAGTTCATCTTAATTTAGCTTCTTTTCAATTAAAATTGAATTTGCATGTGAGTCCTGTTTGCCACCTCAGCTCGAGTAATTGAAAGCTACTCTACATTCATTAATGAATGGCGCACAACTCCGTATAATAAGCCATTTTATCTTCTCATCCCAAAATGTTGTTATTGATAATGAAAGAGCCCTTGTGAAGACTTGTAATTCACACGCTGATTGCTGCTTTCGCATGCCCGAGGTGCTTCGAGCGGCCTGCGCACACCGCTCTCTGAGGTGAATTTCTTACTTTATTGATTGTGGATGAAATTGCTCTGGTGGAAGCCCCAGCGGTGAAGACGTGACTTCATTTGTTGCTTTAAATTGCATGTGGTTGCAGAAGCGGGGCGTGCGCACACATATTTATGTGCATTTTTTTGTTTTAATCATCTCATCATCGCTCTCCTCTCCCAGGTCTCCTGCTGCAGTGTCCTCCAGTCCAGTCATTTACATGTTCTTGGATGTGTTCCAAAGCATTTTGGGGGCTGCGAATTCTATCCCGTCATTCGGGTCTTTGTTTCCTTGCACGCCTTGCGGCTTCTCTGCTTTGCCAATAGCCCATAATAGCGTCTCTTACTGTCCATCATTGCGCTAATCTGTCCGATCTGGTTTCGCATTTCAGAGCTTGCACTCTCTTGAGGTTCTGGAAAACAAACGCATCCTTTCAAGCCTTCCTTCGGCGGATCCCACATGTTTGCTATCAAGAAGTATTTGTGCATTCCAGATGAGTCAGTGCTTCTTGCTCCTGAGCCACTGTTTGGATGCCCTTCAGCCAAATTATGGAAATCGTAAAGCTTATGTTTCCCCTGCTTTGCATGGAAGGCTGGGAAAAACAGATTGCGGCGCTCGCAGCAGATTTATGCTAATGCCAGCCTTCTCGTTCGCCGTTAATGTGCCGAGGCCAGACTCGAGTCTCTATGTAATGGGCCATGTGCGTCCGTAACCTGCCTCCCTGCAAACTGCGACGCAAACCTACACTAACACACTCTGGCTGAACCCGTTCATCTCACGGTCCTGCTGCAGAACAGATGCCAATCATGTTGCCAGATTGGCCGCCCGGTTAACCAGATGTGTGCGAATGTGTTTTGGGCTGACACGGCACTTTAAAGTAGCGTGGATGTCCTTTACAGTCGCTCTGCAGTGTGTCGAGAGATGAAGTAATGTGTAGGTGTGTGTGTGTGGGCTCCATCTGCAGGAGTGCGTCTGTCTTTAATATCCCTCTTGCGTGCGTATTGGGGTCGCGTTGTGCCCTTGCCTGTAAACAGCGTGTTGATGCTATCTGCGCTCCATCAAGGCGATGGATGTGCAGACTTTAGGGCTTTGGCAGAGGTGCATTTAGGCTGCCGGAGTGTATTCCTTGTGCACTCACGAATTCAAGAGGGGGATGGAGACTTTGTGTTCAATGTCGCCTTTTGTTGTGCTGCTAAGATTTCACCGTACAGACTGGTGTCGTCAAACGTAAAGGTGCTTTTGTACCAAGTCAGTGTATGTTTTAAAGGAACCCTCCACTTTTTTTTTGTTGGAAATAAGTTTGTTTGACATTTCATCTAGTAATAAACATTTAACATCTTTTTATTTCTTATATATATTTTTTTTTAGCTTAGCTTTTAGCTTAGCTTAAATCATTGAACTGGATTAGACCATTAGCATCTCACTCAAAAAAGAGAAAAGTTTTGACAATTTTCCTTATTGAAGCCTGATTTTTCTGTGGTTTCATAGTGTACTGAGACTGACAGAAAACAGGTCGATATGTCTAGATAGTGTAATTAAGGCAGCAGGAAAAATTATATTATGCAGCACTGTTGCCTAGTTACCTAGGTGGGACTATTTTTAAGCGCTGCGTAATATCATTGTCCCTGCTACAGCCTTGATCCAGCAGCAGTTTCTTGATCATTACGCCAGATTGTTTCTAGTAATATCATGCTAGGAAATAGCAACTTTTTATTTTCTGTTTGATTCAAGGTTATGAGCGCCACACAGCTAAACTAGTGCGTGCAGGTAAATTCACAGCGTTATCAGAAGCATTGTATTGATAATTTTTTTCCACAGTTGGATTAATAATAAACATAGAAACGTTATTTGACTTACAAGCAGCAGCTAAATGTGTCTGGAAATATATTCAAAGGCTTTAATCTTCACAATCAGCGCGGATGTGAATGTGTCTGAATGTTCTGATTGGTTGGAGTAGACGTCTCACGTCAGCACATTCTAAACTTGAACACGCTCCTTCCGGCTATTTTCCTTCTGCGTTCACACAGAGCAGCATTCTGGCAAATTACTGGTAATGTTACAACTTCTCTTTCTGGAATATTGCCAGAACGAATTTACCAGTGTTTTCAAAAAGGGCCTGTTCACACATGATCCCTTTCTGGAAAATTGTTGGTAATTTTCCTGTATGTGTTAAAGGGGCTTATAAATAACTCTTTTATTTATTTATTTATTTTATTTTTATTTTGCGAGATGCTAATGGTCTAATCTGATTCAATGATTTATGCTAAGCTAAGCTAAAAGTGCTCCCACAAGACTCAGAGATCAGTTGAATAGATACAAATATGGTAACTGTATACCTGTAACTGTAGTTGACATGTAAAATGAGTGTATTTCTAAAAAATATCCTTTAAAATATAGTGCTATCAGACTTTATGCAATACTGGTAGTACTGGATCACTTCAGTGCCACCTGATGTTCTATACCAGGTTTGTGTGAACATTACTCTTCATAATCCATTTATAATTAAGTTGAATAAAAGTTGACATTTTCATGCATGTACAGTTGAAATCAGAAGTTGACAACATTTGAGTTAATTGGAGGCACAACGGTAGAATAGTATTTAAAGTAAACCTCAAACACGCTGCTTCCTTGTGTGACAACATGGGAAAATCAACAAGCCAGAATCAACAAAGAAGCCAGATTACAATGTGCTAAATTACACTGGGAAAAAGACTAATTTTTGGACACATGTCCTCTGGTCTGATGGAACTAAAATTGAACTGTTTGGCCATAATGACCAGTGGTGCAGTTGGAGGACAAAGGGGAAAGCTTACAAGACTAGGAAGACCATCCCAACTATAAAGTATGGGGGCGGCAGCATCATGTTGTGGGGCTGTTTTGCTGCAGGAGGGACTGGTCCACTTCACAGCATAGATGGCATCATGAAGAAAGAACATTACGTAGAAATACTGAAGCAACATCTCAAGACATCAGCCAGGAAATTAAAACCTGGCCACAAATGGGTCTTCCAAACAGACCATGACCCTAAGCATACTGCCAAATTAGTTAAAATGTGCTTTAAGGACAGCAGAGTGAATGTTTTAGAGTGGCCATCACAAAGCCCTGACTTCAATCCTATAGAAAATTGTGGGCAGAGTTGAAAAAGCCTGTGCGAGCAAGACAGCCAACAAATCTGACTAAAAAAAAAAGCTAAAAAAATTTAAAATAGCAAGGAAATGCATGTAAACTTTTGACTATCTAGAAATTAATACAAAATTATCAAAAAAAAAAAATTCTCTCATTATTCTGGCATTTAGCAAATGTAAATCATTTGGGTAATCCTCACGGACCTACAATAGTAATTGTTTAGTATGATTTACCATCAAACATAAAAAAAAAAAAAGAAATAAAAAATTGCTTGTTTCTTTTATTAGGGTGTATGTAAACTTCTGGTTTCAACTGTAAGTACACGCTTCAAAGTTTTGTGAGTGGCTACCGTAATAAACTGTGTTTGACATTCTAGTAACTAGTTTCAATACATTATAAATATTTGAAAAAAAAATAATTTAAATGCAGCAAAAATGCATTGAATGCAAAAATTTGATAGGATAATGAAAAGTTTGCATGTACTCCCGAGAGCCTCTGTTTTTTTCCTAGTGGAAATAAAATGGAACACTTGTATAATGTTCAATATTACACCAATAAAGCCATTTTATAATATAATATCAGGCTGTAATGTCTGTCAAGATGATGCAATGCATGGCGGAGCTTTTACAAACATATCCAAATCACTATAGTCTGATTTCTCCCAGTCAACCCCTTACCAAAACCCTACCCCCCCCAAATGCTGTTTTTATATATAAAAACTGAAATTTTCATATAGTGACAACAGCCCTCCAATGCCTGAAATGCAATAACTTTTGTTCTTCTTGTTTTGTTTGTATAAGTCACCTTTCAGTAGGCAATTTAATTCAAAGCTACTTGCGCTTCAAGCGATTCCATTTCACATGTCATTACTTTCTGAAAAGCAATTGACAGTGCAGTGTGTTGTTCTAGTGTTTTTAACCTTTTGGTTCTAGTCCCAAATCATTTAGTACTTCTCTCTGTGTTCCTGTAGGTAAGCCCAGAGTAGATTGCCAGCCCCCAGTGCCTTCACGGGTCATCATCACTGACAAACCAGCAATCGTAACAACCTCCTTCCCACCTATCACAGTTGTCGAATCCAAACCTACTACTGCTATTCGAAAACCCAACGCCATCTTGCTGGAGGTTCAGTCAGCACCAAAGAAACGGACCCCACAGCTCCAAATACAGGTGACAAGTGTAACTAGGGGGATTTTTGTTGCTTTGACAGTGAAACCAGTATTATTTAGTAAGTGTATATTAAATTTGATAGTTATTTAGACACAATTGTTAATGCTGTGTTGTTAACCAGTTAATATAAATGAGAAGAGATGTACTAAAATTATCTTCAGTGTAACAATTGTGGACAGATGAAGTCAGAATTATTCCCTTTTGATTTTTATTTTCTTTTTAAAATATTTTCCAAATTATGTAAGGTGTAAAAAAAAAAAAAAAAAAAAAAGAGCAAGGAAATATGCACAGTATGTTTGATAGTATTTTTTCTTCTGGAGAAAGTCTTATTTGATTATTTTGGCTAGATTAAAAGCAGTTTTTAAAATTTTTTGAAGTCATTTTAAGGTCAAAATTATTAGCCCCTTTAAGATATATTTATTTCGATAGTCTACAGAACAAACCATCATTATACAATAACTTGCGTGATTACCCTAACCTACCTAGTTAACCTAATTAACCTAGTTAAGCCTTTAAATGTCACTTTAAACTGTATAGAAGTGTCTTGAAAAATATCTAGTCAAATATTATGTACTGTCATCATGGCAAAGATCAAATAAATCAGTTATTAGAAATGAGTTATTAAAACTATTAGGTTTAGAAATGCATTGAAAATAAACAGCGGGGCTAATAATTCTGACTTCAGCTGGATGTATATGTTTGTAAAACATTGTCAGATGTGTTTAGAGCAAAAATAGTTTGATAACTTTAAAAGAACAGAGTGTAGCTCTCTAATATTATTTAATTATATATTTTTATATTACTATCTTTCAGACCATCAAGTTATATCTATGTGTTTAATAAGTTTTTTAGTAGTATAAAATGTATAATAATTTAGTATGATCACTTATTCTTTTTTGTATTTATGTAAGTATATCTGTCATGCTGAAACATTATTTCACCTGTAAATGACATTGTATTCTCACAAAACCTAGAGATATGTTTAAAGCATTGAAGTAAACACTTTTCTCGCATTTAGGTTTTCTTTGTATATAGAATCACCCTTGTGAGTATTATTTGATGCAGACACCAACTACATATATAGAAATATATCATTTATTTATATTTTATATTTATATTCCCCAAAAATATTAAGCAGCACCATTTTTTTTTACATTTTAATAATATAAAATTGCACCTTGTAAAACTGAAAACTAGAATACGGATTATGGGCGCCGTAATCCTTATCCACAAAAGAGAGAAAGAGAAAGAGAAAGTAAAGGAAGATTGGAGGAGGCTTTTTTTTTTTTAATCCTTGCGCTGTAAATGGTAATCCTTATCCACAAAAGAGAGAAAGAGAAAGAGAAAGTAAAGGAAGATTGGAGGAGGCTTTTTTTTTTTTTTAATCCTTGCGCTGTAAATGGTCTGTCTAACTGTTTTCTCGCTAGCGAAGCGTTTAGTTTTTCCACTTATAAAGTCTGCCATGGAAATAGTAAGTGAGCCATGAGGCAACTAACTCTTAAGCCTGGGTTATTCGTCAAAACGCTAGCTGGCAGTGGAGTGGTTAAGTTCCTATGTGTCGAGTTTCTTCGCTGGTGTTTTTGTTATTTCTGAACACTTCCTTAATGTAAAAGTGGTTTAGACTCGCTCATTTTGAGGCAGGAACTGGTGGACGTGCAACAACTTTAACCATGAAGTAAACACAAAACAAAACCTTCCATCTGGAGCTTCGTCACGGGACTCCACACTTGTAAAGATTTGCTCCATCGGGTTCGCGCGGCTTTCATTCCCGCCCACACTCGTCAACAACACATAGCTTGTGCTACGCGTCGTTGCGACGTGTAGTCACATTTTTTGAGAGGTGGGCGTCAGCAACGCCGACGGCTACGGCGAGGGCTATGCGTCCACGCATAGGCCGCACCGTACCATATGCGTGCGCTTGACGCAGAAGTATAAATCAGCCTTTAAAGGGAATGAGAGATGAGACGCTGATTGGTTTATTCTCAAAACACACCCATAACTCATCAAGACAGGGGTTCTCAATCTTTTGCCGAAGCTGGTACATTGCAGTTGGGGCCCCAGTGTCTGTGCCCCCCACCGGTTGAGAACAACTACATTAAGAGAATCAGCACAACCCTGTTAGACCATGCGCCAGGGTGTATTTTTCCATCCTTAAAATAGCAGATTGGGATACACCCTTAATGCTTTTGCACCTAGATGGTTTAAATAGAGCTCTGTGTCTGCAAGATATTTCTGATTTTGTCACTATGCACATTTACATCCATAATTCACTGATCATAAAAATGTGGCTTTGCATCACTCACCAGTCAATTTCAGTTTCTTACTGCAAATTGACGGCTTTTGTTACACAAATTGTTTTTATTAAAATGAGTTTATCTTTTGTTTACAGGTCCAGCCTGGTGTGAACATCGAGAGTGCTTTGTGCAGCAGCAGGCAGGCTTCTCCCACACCAGTGATTCCAGCCGAAAGCATCCTTCCTCCACTTTCAAACCATGTAAGACCTATAAAAACCACTAAAAATGTGTTGTCTTCAGCAGCACTTTTTCATATGCCTTCTCAGTCACTCGTCTCTGCTTTCATACTGATCATTAACATAGAACATCCTTCAGCATTTACAATTAGGGATGCACGATATATCGGTGGCCTTAGAGATATCGGCTGGTTAATGTTATCAGTCCAATAACAAAATGATGCCAATATCTTTTTTTAATCAATAAATTATTTCCGCTGTGTAAACCAACTCACATGCTTGCGTCTATATATATATATATATATATATATATATATATATATATATATATATATATATATATATATATATGTGTGTGTGTGTGTGTGTGTTTGTGTGTGTGTGTGTATATATATATATATATATATATATATATATATATATATATATATATATATATATATAAATATGGAAAAAAATAAATATGTTATATTTAATTTAATTTAATTTAATTAGTTTTTTAAATTATTTTTTTTTATTTTATTTTAGATATATCAGCCAATATATTGACTTTTGGTCTTTAGAATTATCAGTATCTGTCAAAAATCCCATATCGGTGCATCCCTAGTATAAATGTGCTTGTGTCTGTGTGTGTGTGTTTATGCATTCATACACCAGCTGGTCTCAGCTCTGTTCTTCGTTCTGAGAATGGATGGATATCATGCCATTAGATGTTGGCTGTCCTCCAGCACGCTGCACCGCTATAAGGGCTAGTTCTGTTCCAGGTTTGCATTTCTCCTCACACTGCCATTGATTTTTGCCAAGCCGTGCATGTGTGTGCGCTCGTGCTCTCCGAACCTGCCCAAGCGGATGAAGATGGATGAGGTGTGTGGGTGTGCATGTGTGTGTGTATGCAGCTGAATGTATAATGTTGCCGCCAGCGTTTTCTGCTCTTACTCCTCCATTCCCGACCTCAGCCATTCACATCTGGTTGCTAGGAAACAGATGCAGCTCCGTTGGTTTTCGCTGGGTTTGTTAGCAGATTGTGAGCAAGCGTCTGGGAGGACAAAGCCTCTCTGTGGTCTGTCTGCCGCTGTTACCGTCACAGTAATCATTACAGCTCTCTGGAAATAAGCTTTAGATGCACGTCTTCTACAGCTACGCTAGGATCTGTTTTGCTAATTGTGCATGCATTTCTTCTTTTGACTTTGCGCTGAGGTCAAGCATGCAATTAGTCACAATCTCATCGAATTTAGAGGAAACGCAACATTTTTTTGAATGTTTTAAATATTGCGATCATTTCCTCTTTGACGTGGGTCTTCACAATAAACTACCTCAATGTTTAATTGAATTTGTATGTCAGCCAATGGATCATATACAATTTTTTTAAATAATAAAAATAAAAATTCTTTAAAGGGGTGGTCCACTACAATATCATATTTTAAACTTTAGTTGCAACTACTGAAAAAAACAGCTTAAACCAGCCTAGGCTGGTTGGCTGGTTTTAGCTGGTCGACCAGGCTGGTTTTAGAGGGGTTTTGGCCATTTCCAGGCTGGTTTCCAGCCATTTCCAGCCTGGTCTTAGCTGGTCAGGCTGGGAGATGACCAGCTAAAACCAGCTTGACCAGCCTAGCCAAGCTGGGAGCCCAGTCAAAACCAGCTATGTCCAGCTTAAACCAGGCTGGTCAAGCTGGTTTTAGCTGGATTTAGCTGATTATTTTTCAGCCTGACCAGCTAAGACCAGGCTAGAAATGGCTGGAAACCAGCCTGGAAATGGACAAAACCCATCTAAAACCAGGCTGGTCAACCAGCTAAAACCAGCCAACCAGCCTAGGCTGGTTTAAGCTGGATTTTTCAGCAGGGTGATGTGTAATGTAGATGTGTGAACATAAACAGCATCTCTGAATGCAAGACGCTCAAAGTTCAATGCAAAGGGAGACCTTGGTTTTTACAGAGTTAGCTTAGCAAAGCCTACAATAAACAAATTTTGGGGACTACAAAAGAATAACTTCCGGGCCAGTGAGATCACAAACGTACTTTTACCACGCACACACACTGCGCAGCTATGGGGCGTGGCTGGAGACGCTGTTATGTTACAGCAGAGAGAGCTAGAATGGCGTCCAAACGCTGCTATTTCCACAGAGCTTCTCTGTTTCTGTGTTTGGGCCTCCAAAGGACACGACACAAGGACAGAAGTGCTTACAGTTCAATATTAATTATGTTCCAGAGAATTATAAAATACATAGCAAGCTTGATTTGACAAAACACAGCTTCCAGAATCTCTCCCAGTTCAGTGCTGGATTCGGTTAAAATCTCCTCAAAGAAGGAGCAGCTCCAACAAGCAGAAGCTGTAGCCTGTGAGTTTTTATCTCTTAAAATTGATCATAACATGTACAGTGTCTAGCCCAGGGGTGGCCAACCCTGTTCCTGGAGAGCCACCTTTCTGCAGATTTCAGTTGCAACCCATATCAAACACACCTGCTTGTAATTATCACGTTGTTTTCAGGTCTTAATTAATTGGTTCAGGTGTGTTTGATATGGATAGCAACTAAAATCTGCAGAAAGGTGGCTCTCCAGGAACAGGGTTGGCCACCACCCCTGGTCTAGCCTTAACGGTATGTTGTAGCAAAGATGTAAACAACGGGAAATGCTGTTTGGCACCTCTAACGATTTAGCTACAAATTCATATTTATTAGTCAAACAGCTGTAAACACGCACACACACACACACACACACACACACACACACACACACACAAACACACAAAGCGTGTGTGTGTCTCTCTATAGGCAGCTTTTCCTGCGTTCTACATCTCAGATAATGAACTCGCAAAAAATATGTGAACGATTCTTATTACTTACACATGCATATTCCAGATATATGTTAAAGACAGCGTGTAAAGCATTAAGTTAAAAAATACAGGAGAGCTTGCCTAACTTGTGTAGCAGCAGAAAAATAAATAAAGGCTCACACAGGTCGCATTCCACATCTTGTGGTTTATTCTGCTGTCGACAGCATCACTGTATATTACAGAGCAATAACTTAATTTGAGCATCAGAGAAAAATAAAAATACACATGCGCTTCCCGTGCTACACACGTCTACAGACAGGGAGTTCACAAACAGATACAAACACTCCAACAATTGCGATCTCTCTTAAAGGAGCCGCACCCCATTTTCACTCGCTACAGACACTTGTCAGATGTTATTTTAGAGAGTGGGCATGAGGTTGACTGACTGTTTACACAGCACAAAAGCGCATGCTTATACAGGCGAATCCGCGAATCAAAGCACATTATGATAGATGACCAATCAGAGCCTCTTTAAGGCGGGCCTTTCAGAGGAACTAGGAAATATGACAGTCGTTCTCATGTTAGCTGAGTAGCTGTATATAATCAAAGTGAGATTTATGAAAAAATAATGTAATTTCCTTCAAGTAAAGCATGAGCACACATTGCTTTGCGATCATATAACCACAACCAAGCCTTAAAATTACATTCTGAACCACCCCATTAAACAGCTGCTTTGGTTAGTTTGTGTAATACACGCTTCAGTCATTTGTGTATTTATTTTTAATTACATCCAGTTTATTAATAAAACATATTTAAGTTCTTAGCATTTTATTTAGTGTATTCTGACCTACAGTATTCTCTGATTCGCTATTTCAGATGTTAAACTACAAACTATATGTCTAATTTGATTTTATTTTCAGGCTAAATATAGACACAAACACCTATTTTACAAGAAAACAAAGTCTTGTGAACACGATATCTATTGGTGCTTAAGATCTGCCGCTTTCAGACTCTTATAATCTATATAAATGTTTATTTATATGATCTATTATTTTAATTATTACCCTTATTATTTAAAATACAGATCAGGGTGAAAACTTTCTCAGTATTAAAGAACTGACCCCCCATCTTGTTTTTACTTCCCTCAGGGGGCATCAAACGTTAATTAAGGGGGGGGGATCAGTCCCCTCCAAACCCTTGTAATTCACACCCTGGTCATAAGTAGTCGTATTTGTAAATAGCAGAAGTCGTAGTCGTTGCAACATATTGATGCAATACAAACCTGTTTGCCACAGTTTTTCAGTATACTCTGGTTTGCAATGAACATTATGAACACAATTAGCATGTCTGTCCATGTTTTTCTGTGCGTACGAATGCAAATCATGCATCTTCCCCTTAGTTCCTCTTTCTAATGCATATGTTATCATTATTATTGTTAGTAGTATTAATATTATTTGTATTAGTAGCAGTAGTAGTAGTAGTAGTTATCGTCGTCATAGCAGTACTAGTTGTTGTTGTAACATACTGATGCATTCAAGGCTATACATTACAAACGAGCTTGCCACAGTTATTCAATATACTCTGGTTTACAAATAATATGAAGAACATAATTAGCATGTCTGTCCATGTATTTCTGTGCGTGTGAATGCAAATCATACATCTTCCCCTCAGATCCTCTGCCTAATGCGTCTCAGCAGAGTTGTTCTGGTCTGCCAGCTCAGCATGGCTGCATTCAGCACTCAGTCTGTGCCCAGTTAATGCCCATGACTCATCAGACTGGCAGACCCCAGAGTGTACACACACACACAGGCAAGGACAGACAGTCACAAACCCACAGATCCTTCTCTTCACTCCCACCAGCCTGAGGCCTGTCAAACAGAGAGAATGAAATATGACTAAGAAGTCTCACGGTGCTTGTTCTTAAAGCATATGATACTTCAGTCCTCTGAGACTTGACATTTAGAGTGCATTGCAGTCACCGCTGGCTCTTACTGTTACAAAACCCACTCTTGTTCATTGAGAAAATATTGTGATAGATTGACTTTTGTAGACCTATACGAGCATGGAGGGATTGTTCACCAAAAAGAATGAAATTCTGTCGTCCTTTACACACCCATAGATCCTTCTAAACCTGTACAACTTTGAAAAATGTGAATAAGCATGCTGTAAACATTGCAAGTTCAAGAGCCCCTATTATTTTTGAAATGAGCTTCCATTTAGTGTGTAACACAGCTATAAGTGAAGGAAAACATCA